CTCTCTTTTTAAGTTTTTCTCTTTATTATTTAAAACCTCAAATAAAAACTAACTTAAAAGAATATAAAATACGAAAATTCACTTCTTTGTACGTTCAGTAAGGTCTTTGATGAATTGTTGGTGGTTGTCTGTTATTTTCATAATGAGTTCTTCGTCTTGTGTTTTGATTGTGATATTTTCAGGCGTTGACCTTTTAGTAATTACTTTCTTTATATCATCATACAATATCTCTTGTACCATAAATACTTCGTTTTCTGACTTTTCAAGAATGAGTAGTTCAATAGAAGTTAATACTACAAGAATACTTTTCGTATCCTGTTCTCCTTTTATTTCTAACAATGCTTGATATGTAGGATTTTCTTTCATAACGTCATTAAAATAGTCAGTGTTATTTGTGTCCTTTTCATCATCATCTTCTTCTTCAACAATTTCGAAAAGCTCCATTTTTTTGTCTTCTTTTTTTATTGGTGATGTTTCTTCTTTTTGGTCAGTTTTCTTTGGGAAATCTTTTGTTTGTTTTTGTTCATTAGGTTCTTCTTTTTTTTCTTCTTTAATTTTCTCTTCTTTTTGCTCTTTTTCTCTTTTGTTTTGTTCTTCTTTTTGTTTCTTTCTTTCCTCTTCACGTACCCTTTTTGCATCTTCCATTGCTTTTATTGAATTTTGTTCATACTTCTTTGCTGCATCACTAACTGTTTGACTAATATATCCCCACCATGAAGAACTTTTTTCTTGTACAGTTTCCTTTGCTTTTTTTGCATTTTCTTCTACAACAGAAGCAATTTTTTCCATTTTTTTTATTTGAGGATTACAAACATAACAAAGAGCGATGTTATGTCTTTCTAATTTAGCACCTTGGACTTTATTCATTGCACACTCATGATAACCCTCAAATCCACTTTCCATGATGCAAACCTTTTCTACTCCTATTTTCAGGAAGGCTAATGCAGCAGAACCAATCATATCCTTTGTTGGAAGATGACCTTTATGTTGAGACCCAAATAGGACTATGATATGGTTTGGTTTAAACTCTTTTGTGATATCTGTTATTGTCTCTGATGTTACTGGAAGAGTAATGTGTTGTGATCCTAATATACTACATCTTTCAAAATCTTCATCATCTCTGCAATCAACAAAATGAATGAGTTGATGTCTAGTAGTCATATCTTTAATAATATCAGTTGCAGTAACTTCAAAGACATTTGAGTTTTTTAATATTTTAGAGTAAATACGTTGGAAATTGTAAGAAAAAGAAATACTACCACTAATATATCTGAACACTGTGAGAGGAGTATGACTTCTAATAAATGATGCTGTTGAGCAAAGAAAATCAACTTCTGAGAGGGAAAGAGGTTTTTGAAGTTCTTGAAGAATATCTTCAGTTGAATCACCTAATGTCGGTTCTTTTAACAAAAATAAAGCGGTTAGTATAAAAACAAAGAAACAAGGATCTTCTGATAACAACAGGTAATCCCACAATTTCCAAAGAGTATTTAAGTCATTAAACAAGGAAATAAACAAGTTATATATAAATGGAGATGTTATGTTAGATATATTAATTCTTTTTGACTCTAGTTTTATTGCCAATGAAGGACAATGAAATAGTAACAATTGAAGGAAAATAGTATTTAAAGCAGTTTGTATTGATGGGTAATGTGTTAAGAAATACCTATGAAACCTTTCAAAAAATGCTATTGATAAGTTTGCTAATTGAATTTGTTCTTGAGAATTTTCTGTGGTTAACTCAAAAGAGTTAAGAGAATAAAGTGTTGATGTGACTCTATATAAATTATCTAAATTTTTGGAAGTAGGAGCGATAGTATATCGTGTGATAATTGTATCAACAATAGGCCAAATTATTTCACCTTTTACTTGTACAAGAGTTTTAATTTCTTCTACATGATGTTCAGAACTTTTTATTTCTTTGACTAGTCGTTTTGGTTGAAGAAATAATTTATAAATAGAACTTCTTAGAGAAGATGGAATTTGACTTCTACAAAGCGTTCTAATATCGTTAAGAGAATTTAACTGAACATATTTGCTTATTAATTTGATGTTAGCTTCTTCCATTATTCTGCTTTTTATTTTTTAGTTTTATTATTTTAAAGTTCTTTTATTAGTTTTATTTTTACGAAGATAGAGTAGTATGACTTACTATGGTTTGAATCTATTGATATTCTAACTTTTTAAAACAGCAAAGTCTAATTCCAAATAACTGGTTACTCTCTTATTTCTTTTTGAACATTGAAAACTGTGTTGATAATTATTAATTAACTTACAACAACAATACTAAATACAGAAGAATAATAAATAAAAATTAACTTAAGTGAAATTCTCATCTTTTTAAATATTATTTCTTTAAAAATAAATTCTTAGAGGTTTGAATTTGTTTTGGTAAATTAAATTTAAAAGGAAGAATACATGTAAAAATATTATTTTTGTAATCTCATGTTTAATTTCATTTTTATTAACTTGACGTAAGAAATAAAAAGAAAGTATTTTTGTAAAAGGTGCTTAGTTTAAATGTCTCAAATCATTTTTTTGTTACACTCACCAATAAGTATTTGTTAAGAGACAAATTCATAAAACAACTAAGTTATGCCAACTTCCAATTAAACTATTTAACTTTAAAAAAATAGATGATATTAATAAAATATTATGCATCAGCTCTTTTAGAAATAATTAACAATAACCTCTAATTAGAAGGATTGGTCAAATATTAGAAATTATCACTCAAACGCTCAAAAATAATTTCAATTTCTGAAAAAAAGCATATAAGTAACCTAAGCAATTAATTAATTATCAATAGAATTAGCTTCTATTGTTCCTGCATCAGGGGAGACTAATCCTCATCACTGATGTTTATTAATCATTCACCCATTTCTTCTATAATGACATATAGCCGATCTTTAGTGTTGAATCATTGTATTTTCCTTTTCTTATTTATTTTCTTCTCTCATTTTCCTTTTTATCTAAGTTACTTTCTATTTACAACT